GCACTGTCGCGGTTCGAATCCCGCTGAGGGTGTTGATAAGACCAATGCAAGGTCGAAACTGCAGTCCACTAAGGATAAGAACAACGGCTATGTGAAATTCAATGGAAAACGTCAGCTCAACTCATATCATTGTGGGAAAATTCTACTACCAGTCCCTGCTATGTGAAATTCAATGGAAATGTCAGCTTAACTCATATCATTGTGAGAACAACTTTTGGGAAAGAAAGGCTATGTGAGATTCAATGGAAAAGTCAGCTAAACTCATATCATTATGTTTTTGGGAAAGCAAGGCTATGTGAAATTCAATGGAAACGTCAGCTCAACTCATATCATTGTGGGAAAATCTTTGGGAAAGCAAGGCTATGTGAAATTCAATGGAAAAGTCAGCTAAACTCATATCTGCTATATCATATTCTTTTTGTGAAATTCAATGGAAACGTCAGCTCAACTCATATGATTGTGGGAAAATTCGTTGGGAAAGCAATACTATATGAAATTCAATGGAAACGTCAGCTCAACTCATATCATTGTGGGAAAATTCTACTTGCAAGGCTATGTGAAATTCAATGGAAAAAGTCAGCTTAACTCATATCATTGTGGGAAAATTCTACTACCATTCCCTTAATCACCTTACACGAAATAGGGTGAATACATCTCATTACACTGATTTACTGGTAGTCTCGAAACCCTACTCACTTACAAATATAACTATACATATTTGGCCTTTACTAAGCATTCGCTCCAGTAATATGGAATTATAGGTTAATATAAATATTTTTGCATGCATATTTTAAAATGTCACTAACATTATTGATGTTGATTCAGCCCCTTATTGATCTTTAAGCATAAATGTATCATTGCTAAAGTATAGGTGTTTTTTGTGTCATTCTATGGAATGCAATCATAGATTGTCACCGGGACTGTAGGACTTATTACACGTACTAACTTTTTGATTACATTAATTAATTATATATTATTAAGTCTTCATTTTCTCCGATATTTTTCAAGTAAGCTTAAACAATAAACCTATGCCTCATTATCTTGTGCTTTCTCCTAACCAAGGATAAAAATAAAGCATGTCCTTTTTTCTTTACTCCGTTATTCTTTCCTGTCAGATATCCTCCATTTTATCATCAAAAATCATTTAATTCTTGATTATATTCGAAATTCTACAGTTCAACGATAACTATTTTTTCCGCTTATTCATTTGCATACTATGAAAAAAATTACAGCGTGGTTTCTATTATGCTCTTATCTACGCAGCATTTATTTAGCTCAATATTTCTATTGCCTGTTTTGTATTTCATAACTTTTCGAGACTACTTGTAGAGCTGACATATCTCATATTTTATTGAAAGTCATGAATGTCTAGTAGTTGAATTCTCCTGAAATAATACGAGCAAGCTTAATATTTATAGTGAATTTCACATAGCCTTGCTTTCTAAAAGCGTGGATGACAGTTTAAACCTCGCCTGAACTGGTCTTATCATCACCCTCAATACGACTCGAACCCTGGTTGTGCCGCATGTTATCACGACAAGTTAACTATCACTTAACAGTGCCGCGAATACTCTTGGGCCACAGAGCATGAGGAAACTTCAAGCAAACCTAGGCCCTTTCCATATTACGCAATAGGGCAAATACAACTCTTAAAATATATCTACTAGTAGTCTCACAAACCTATTTATAAAAACTGATATTGAGTAACAGTCGATTGATATAGCAGATATAAGTTTATTTATTTGTAATCCCACCAAAGAAATGTGATATGGCAAAAGTCAAGGCCTTGTGTAAATTCTCTTCTGACCTGTGACCCAAGGGCACTCGTGGCAGTGACGTAGTTGTAAACGTGTCGAAACTATACGTTGCACTACCATGGTCCGACTCCTGCTGAGGGCGCTGATGTTATCTAAGTGAGGTTAACTACAGTCCACTCTGGATGAGAATACCTTTGGGAAGCAAGACTATATAAAATTCAACGGAAGCATGAGGCCTATTAATATGGTTGTTGGACAATTCAATTACTTGCCCTTTATCACCTTAAACGAAATAGAATGAATACAGCCAAAAATTTGTCTAAAATTTTTCATCGATATTCGTGGATAGCTCGGAGTTAAGCATAAAGGATCAAGTCTTAAAAACATTAAGAGGCTTATAACGAATAGTTTCGATATGCTATATCTACAAGCCCCAAATATCTGTTTTTACCTTAGCACATAAACTTAATGCAAATTGACCTATTAGATACATACTATTTTATTTTTCAATTTGTCCAGTTCATCAATTATGCTTTGTTAAACCAATGGTCTCTTGAAGGCCATTTTGGAATTAGGTCAATATGCCGACTCATGCTAAGATCTTGTAGATCCTGAGCGAATTATCTAGCTATTTAATCCATCAGTCTAGTTTTCCCCATATTCAATATATAAAAATTTGAATAGTTTAGACAAAATGGTTTTTGATTAAAACTTTTTGAACATTCTGTTTCCAAGTAACATTAAGTGGATGTATAAAACATATGACCAATATGTTCACCTACTATGACAGACGAAGAAGTTACCATACTAGTCAGGATCGTTCATGACCAGAATATAGCCAATGGTTGCCCTGGTCCTTGCCTTTTATTCAAAGTTGATTTCAACCCCAGATTTTCTCACATGATGAGAAGCCTCATTTTCAGCTATGTAATTTTGATAAAAGTCAAAGTACTAGCAATTAGCAAAGCATGGGAGGATGGCATTCGCTTTTGCAGTGCACGATTATGATATCATCTATAGTGGGATTTGCATGCTTACATAAGATCACTTGGATACACCTCGGAGTAATTCGTGAAAAATTTACAAGCCCATATGAGGATTCGATTGAAAATGCTTGTCAACATTTATGAAATTATGATACCGGCTTCACATTAATGACACAGTATAGGCAAACCAGTTAGGCAAAGTATATGAATGAGTTTAGAAGAATTTAACAGTCAGATTTTAAAATAAGGAATAAACCAAAAAGAAATAGATGCCCCTCGTAATTCTTGCATGGAAGGACCGGTAATTTATTCCTCTTTCCACATCGAATAAGTTACTTATTTGTCATACCGCATCCTTAGTCTCGTTCTAAACACATCATCAGCTATCTCTAGGCTTTTAAGATAATAAGCATTCCCTATAGCACGGGTTTGGGGAAGATGTAGTTCATGCTTTGAAGTTAGTTTGGAAGGCATTTAAATCATGCCTTGACCCGATTCTAAAGAAGCAGATAAGCCCGAAAATGAATTGTTTTCAGGATTCTGATACATCGGATCCAGGCAATCTTGATTTCTGATAAAACCTCTAAATGACAATCTTTTCACTTTTTCACAACCTCGGGCGTCAGCACTTATGGCAACAGAGCTAGCTTCTCATCAATTGCAAGTGGATACTACTTTTGTGCTGCGACATGTTTCACAGCGAACCTCACAGCACCAGTAGAATTTGCATTCACATTTTTCTTCATGCATAAATGTTTGACGACGATGACCTCTGCCGCAACAAAGATACTCACAGCTGTCCATCCCGTGTGATGTCTCTGAGCACTGACGTCCGTAGGTTCCCAAACTTCCATGGTTCGGGTTATGATGACAGAAGTTAGGTGAGGGAGAAAAGTAGAGCAAGTCGTTTTCGTTGGGCAAAAATCGGGCGGCCATATTTTCTGAATGGAGGATAAATTTGGTGACGGTAAATTAAACTTAATTCGCATTAAAGTGTACGTATGAATTCTGGTCAAAACTAAATGTGGGTGTTCGAATGTACAGCAATGTTTGAAATAATGGAATCAATTTTATTTAGCAATCTTATCCGTCTTTATTCGATATTAAGGTTGATGTGTTGTGGAAGGCTTTTTTAGATTGCTCTATTGACCGTCTTTCCAAAAATTGAATAACAACAATTTTTACTTTGGGTGGATAAATACTTAGGTTGTATAAAAAAAGACTGCATTTTGAATATATTACTTTAAACAACTCAATTAGAATTAGTCATTCTAAAAAGTTTGCTGACAGTCTACCGTTCGATACATTAAAATCACGAGAAAGTAAAATATGTATGCCATATTATCTCTGGCTCAAAGTTACGAAGTGATGACGGATGTTGAAGCTCCAAAAGTCACTTTAATGTATATTATAGGTCACTTAGACCTCATATATATATGTGGGCTATCAAATTGATGATCTTTTAGTTTTCTCGTTGACTCCCACGAGATCTGTTAGGCGGGATCCATTTAGCCTATTTTACTGTAATAATGTGTAAGAATGACCCATTCGCTGTGGAAAACTATTTATTGCTTCTGTCCCCTCATAGATGCATGCTGCCAGTTGGGTTTACTTCTTTACTTATCTTAGGCGGGGGCTGATCTGATCGTGAATGCTAAAATCACTAAATGGTTCATTGTACTGCCATTGAAAGACTGAAGCCTAGGAGAGAGAGATAAATCCTGCCTCAACTCATCTTTAAGTGATTTGTAAATAATATCAACTTATTGAATCTTCTAGACATGTAGGATGAAACTCAAAACATGCCATTGAAACGTTCTCATATCTTGCAAAATCAATCCAAAGTCCGTTTTGGTGAGATGCATTTAGATTCGTCTATTCTCACCCTTGCTTGCACTTTTCCCCTAATATTAGACAGGCTAAAATGCAGTAACCTTGACGCAAATTAATGATAGAATTCTTGTGTATATGTTGGAAAAGTTTGTTATGAGAGGATCATTAAGGGATAAATTTATGATATATTTGTTGTACTGAAAGTCGTGTGGCTTGGAGATGCTAGCTTAATTTGCGCGTTTAGGGAAGGATGCAAAAAACTGTCATGAAATCGACCTCAAGTCGCCCTTTATCATTGCTATCGTCCAAATTAGTGAGCATCCATGCTCTTTTATTCTTGATTAATGCAGCCTAAATTATATGAGCGCCCTCGGGCTAGTCATCACTTATAATCATTTTTAATTGTCCTTCTTCCTATGATAAGTAAACTGGTAAATAGTATCATAATGGAGGATTTGGTATAATTCGTATGGGTAGTATGACTGTAAATTAGGAAAAAATCATCAGAGCTTCGTTTTGATCTATGTAAGTAATATGAACTGTAAAGACACAGCTCAACAATAGGTTTCTCGGTCTTTGGTAGTCATGTGCTTATAATTGAAAGAAATCGCAATTTTTATCCTACGCTTGACTATCCCTTACTGCTAGCTTCTTTTTTACTAGGGTGGCTTTCAACTACGTCGATACATATCCGATTAACCTCTGGGAACTCTAAGATTTATATCAAGTGGCTTTCAAAGCTCTCAGTAAAACTTGGCTTAAGCTCAAGTCGGCAAAGACCGGTTAAACTAATCTAACGGCAGATAGTTAAATTTCCCGAAAATAACCGTGTGCTCTATCTCAAAAAGGCCTTATCCTGACTGGATTGCACTTTCAAGCTTGCCTCGGTCTCATCATCACCCCCTAACAGATTCTAAGCCAGTTACTTTGTCTCGATCGTCAATGTTACCACTCCTCGGCCGCTAGATCACAGACCGGTTGCCAAAAGGCAATCCACGCCCCCCTCAGTTTATTTTCATGTTCTATTGGTATTCTGGAAATCTACACACTTGGTATATCATAAACTTTATCAATTTGAATGGAAAATACAAGTTTTCCATATCAACCACAATTGCACTATGAGAAAGACATTTGGCCTGGCTTTGTTACCAAAGGCAGTGTCGCGAAGGGGTGACTTTGGGCTAGATACAGTTTTTAATTGCATCAGGGGTATGAATCAAACCTAGACGAGGCCGATACTCATAACCACTCGGTATGGCAGAGCCTTTTGTGAGAAAAATATAAGCGAAATTTGCTCGGGATTAATTCTTGAATGAGGATTGCCGCGTAGGGAAGATTATTGCATTGTGCAAAGAAGTCCTCGGCTCACTGTCCTGCGATCTCGATGAGACCGCGCTAAGCTTTCGTCTGTAACGCCGTTACAGACATCATACGAGCCATAATCCATACTTAACAAGCAAGAGCAAAAATAAACCAAGAGAATAGGTGGCTGGCTGCAACCCTAGTCGTTTTTGTGTTTATCTAATCTTGTGATCTTAATGAGACATCTCAAGATTTGTTTGACTACCTCAAACTTACTGTACCTGCTTGTAGATGAGTGAAGTTACTTCACGAAATGGAAATATGTTCGGTGTAAGCTGCTTCCTTACACAAATAAACTAATGTGCAATCCTCTCATGTTGATTCATGTTTGGGTTTGTGCTATTGTCTCTTGGGTGTATGCAATGTTCATGTCATAGAAAGTGTGATAGTTCTACCTAGTCTCGAGTAAGACTAGATTATTTTTGAAGTAGAACTCATATTAGGTACATAGCGGTTGATCATACTGAACGATCTATCAGTTTTTTATTCTGGAGCTCTGGGCTTACTTGAAATGACTGCGGCTCCCGGGTCCAAGGCATCCGCATTCATCTCCCCTCCAGCCCCAGCTTCACCTGTAAGCTCAGTGAACTGTGCTAGAGCTGATTTACGTACAAGATGTTTGTTTATATACTCTACCTGGACCGCAGAGTGAAAAAGCTCCTGCAAATGAGTGCCAACGTCACGGAACCTCGGAAGTGAACGCCAACACGTTCGCATTTCACAGGAGCCGCTTACGCCATGACACTTGCACTGCACATCCATCTTGCTTACCACCGCCTAGATGTCAGGAAATGATAGGAGATAAAGGATACCTTTAGAATATCACAGAATCAGCTAATTCAAAGCAGCTGAAGGGTAAAATATTGCAATTAAGACAAACCGCTGCTCTGAATTTCAATTTTTGAAAGATCTGGTGCCGTATGAACTTTAGAATAGGCAAAATATGATAGCAAAATTAATTTTCATGATCATTTCCGCCTTATCATGTTAGATTGAGGAAAAAACTGATAATAATAATTCTTTAGTATTACAACATTATTTCACATAGTGAGTTTTATCGACAGTTTGTTCCTTCTCTGTACGTTCTTTTTTATAAATGAGTGAGGAGATTTGCAACGGGCTGATGTGATGTGAAACATGCTTTTGTGCACCTTTATTACAGCTAATCTACGCCGTATGTACGTTATAAATGCTGTTATCTGCCAGTTACACAGTGGAGTATAGTGGAGTGGTAGATTAGCATATTCTTTATTTTTTAGATGTTCATTTCACAGTCGATTCGACAATAAGTGTCACCTTTTAAAGGCGAGCTAATATGAAAGCGAAAAGTTCTAAAACGGAATGAAACAAGGTGCATAGGACGCAAAGCATCAGGTATCTCCCTCTATTTGAAGTTTTCCAACTAATTAAAAAGAGTTTGGGCTTTGTTAAAGAATATTTTTTCATAGAATTTTTAAAAATCGTATTAACGATATCATTCATTTGCTTTAAGTACACGCTAATAATAAGGAAATCTTAAATTACTTAATCGAAGGTATGAAGACCAAGATGGTGTGGCCTATTGCATGGTCGAGGTCTCCTTTCGTTGTACAAAGTTGATTGACCTTCTTTTCGCAACTTGATCACATTTACAGGAAGACTTTGAGTAACGCACCTTGTTCTGAGTCTATAGGTCTTCCCGCCAATATGACCAATTTGAGAAATCAAAGTCAAACATCTATTGAATTGCTCAAAAAATTATCGAGTCAAAATTTACTTTTATTTAAATACTACTGTAGTAGTGTTAAATGAATCTTTAAAATATTTATTTTTGATCTCTTCTGCATTTATGTTTATTATGTGTTGCCAGTTGCTTTTAATTAATTGAATAAACTAAAATTAGAATACAAAATTAAATTGACTTTATTTTGGACTGCCGAACGTCTTTAGGAACAAGTTTCTATTGTTGGCTTTAAAATAACATATTTTTTATTTGTTTGTGCATCAAATTGAACAGTTATTCTTGAGCTTATCTAACAGCTAATAGTCGTGGTTTTCATGATGAGATGTATAGCCTTATTGAGGCTGATTAATTGCACTCAGA